GAGGTGGGTGGGGCTGAGAGAGCTCTGACAGAAACTGCTCTTTTCAAGGACAGCTCTGACAGAACTATGGCTTGCCCAAGATGAGAGGCAGGTAGGTGCCGTCTGATAACAGTTTGGCTGCCCAGGCTGAAGGGGCAGGCTCAAGACCAAGGCTTTGGAAAGCCAGGTGGAATCCCATTGGTCCCGGCCTTGACTCTCCTGCAGAGCTGGAAGCTACAGTCCTTCCATTTACAGTGGTGGCACCCAAGTACAGCAGGAAAACCCCATAGCACCTCATGCTCCATGTTTACATGAAGAGCAAAAGAGAATGGACCAGAACCTGAAGTATGTGTCAGCAAGCTGCCAAAGGTTCTTTCCTGTGTATGTATGTTATCCTTAAAAAAAAACCCTTTTTATACCCCGCCCTTCACTCAGAGTCTCAGAGTGGCTTATAAACTCCTTTCCCCTCCCCCTACAACAGACACCCTGTGAGGTGGGTGGGGCTGAGAGAGCTCTGACAGAAACTGCTCTTTTCAAGGACAGCTCTGACAGAACTATGGCTTGCCCAAGATGAGAGGCAGGTAGGTGCCGTCTGATAACAGTTTGGCTGCCCAGGCTGAAGGGGCAGGCTCAAGACCAAGGCTTTGGAAAGCCAGGTGGAATCCCATTGGTCCCGGCCTTGACTCTCCTGCAGAGCTGGAAGCTACAGTCCTTCCATTTACAGTGGTGGCACCCAAGTACAGCAGGAAAACCCCATAGCACCTCATGCTCCATGTTTACATGAAGAGCAAAAGAGAATGGACCAGAACCTGAAGTATGATGTATGGGGGAGATTCTAGTTTGAGCTGAATCCTCAAATCTTGACTAAACAAATGGAAAACAAATCAGAATTCAAGTCTGGATGTGAAACTGGACACCCTGTTGAACAAATTAAAAGTGGCACCTCTAAGACCAACAAAGGTTTATTCAAGGTATGAGCTTTCGTACGCATACACACTTTTTAAGATACATTTGTTGGTCTTAAAGGTGTTACTGGACTCTGATTTTGTTCTACTGCTTCAGACCAACACGGCTGACCAACTGGACATCCTGTCATTCAGTGTCAGTGAAATTTCCATTTCTGAAGAGGACTTCAGGCGTTCTACGTGTGAAAGGATGTCCCCAAGTTCAGCTAAGAACTGTTGACCAAAAACATGAGTTCTGGAATTCAACTAATGGCCTGGATCCAAACAAAGGGATTAAAGGTGCCCCTCTCCTGATGGAAGTAGACAGTGACTGATTCTGCACTGGCTTTTCCCTCCTTTGTTTCATGAAACCCACACTGGAACAGAAATTCCCTTCTGCATTGCATGCTGCTTTCACTTCCTTTGATTATTGGTTTTTATGGTAGCTTCCACACTCCATGCCACTTTCGAGTTCTTTGATCGTCAGATTTTATTGTACCTTCTACATAGATCTATGGCCATTTTATGGCCATTCAGGGGTGACTTTGCCCTCAGCACGGTGTTGCCCCAAGGTGTTTGGGTGTGGTTTTGAGCTGCACTTTTCCCTCCCAGTTGAGAAAATGTGGAGTGAATGCTAGGTGCAGAATTGCCCATTATGTGAGCAGTACAGCAGCTTTGGATCCAGTTTCGATCTAACCCGTTTTAGGTTTTTTGCAACCTGACTTGTAACATTTCGAAAACGTACTAGGTAGCAAATGAGATTTAATTTCACATCTATATACGATTCTAAATTATAGATCTCCCATAGTGTTGAATCTTGGTTTGGAGGGAGAAAAGGAAGGAGGAGGCTAAGGTTCGGGGCAGGATAGCAGTTCTTCCCACCCTCTCTGCTATGGGTCTAGGATAATTACAACAAAACCAAGGGTGTACAACTACTAAGAGTCAGAAATCTAATCTACGGTATGTACAAGCCTGGAAGAAAGCCAGAAGACCGGATTTGCTATGCTTAATGAGGTTGCATGCTGGATTTGGCATTTGTTTTTCAACCGTTTTGTTCCTTTTCCCCATTCATATTAACCTTCTGTCTTTTAAAAAATATACCGAAGGAAAACATTCCTTTTACCCACTTGACAAGAAAAGGAAAAGAAAAGCGTTGTTTTTAGAAACGAGTCGAAGCCTGCTGCTGATTTTAAATGACATAACCAGAAATATATAAAGATGATCACCCATGACGATATCAGAAAGCTGAAATCTGGTACAGAAATAATCCAACATACAAAGAACTGGGATGTGAAACAAAACTTAATATGTTTAGATCAATATTAAGTCAAATGATGTTATCTTTAGATTGTAATGACAAGAAATTGATATAGTTGATGATATGAAGTAATTTGGAGCAGGGGTGGAAGCATTGCGGGAAGCCACTGGAGGGAGGGGAGGAATTGGGAATGGGGTAGACAATTGATAGAATGAAATGATTTAATTTCATATGTTGTATTCCTGAGAAAATAAAATTTGTTTACCAAAAAAAAGAAATAATCCAACATACCACTCCGAAAATGGGTGTGTTGGCTCTCACTTTCACGGAGCCTAACAATAGCAGCTAAAAGACTTTTGAATCAGTTTCAGACTGATAGAAAAGGGATTTGTCGAGGCGATCCATGTCTGTGCTTGCAGAATGCGAGATGAATTGGTGCGTGTGTCTTAAGTGCAGCGCAGTCAAGTCCCTTCTGACTTATGGTAACGTTATGAATTAATGGCCTCAAAAATGTCCTATCGTGAACAGCCTTGATGAAGTCTTTCAGACTGAGGGCCACAGCTTCCTTGGGCGATTCTGCATTGGCTTTTCCCTCCGTTGTTTTACGAAACCCACGCTGGAACAGAAATTCCCCTCTGCATTGCATGCCGCTTTCACTTTCTTTCATCATCGGATTTCACGGTACCCTCTACGCTGCACGCCGCTTTCGCTTTCTTTGATCATCGGGTTTCATGGTACCTTCTGCATAGATTTATGGCCATTCAGGGGTGACTTTGCAGTCAGTTCGGCGTTGCCCCGCGGTATTTGAGTGCGGCTTTGAGCTGCACTTTTTCCTCCCAGTTGAGAAAACATGGAGCAAATGCTAGTTGCAAAATCGCCCCTTGACTGAGTCAATCCATCTCAGGTGGTTGGGTCTGCTGCTTTCAGTTCTTCCTTGCTTAATTTTCCTAGCTTACTTTTCCTAGCTTAGGCCCCAGTCACACAGAGAATTTGCCGCACGAAAGGCACGAATATTGGGTGGATTTTTCGGGCGCGATCACACTGTAACATCTGGGAAGCGTAGCGCACCCGTGGCCAACCCGTGGCGCCCTGCCAAAGATGCGGAGTTAAAAAGTACCAAGGAAAGTGCACAAGTATTCGGAAAATGCGTGGCACAGGCGGGCGTCTGATCGCGGGAGCGCTAGTATCCCATGGTATCCGGCGCCTGTCCACATCCCATCGCAAACCGGATGTTTTTCGCAAGCACATGCACACAAACACAAAACTGAAAGCAGTGCTGTTTCACAGAACTGCGCATGCGCACAAACGTGAAACGCTTGTGTGATCACGCCACGCTGCTTCTTTGCCATGCTGCAGCATCACCGTGTGATCGCCAGCTAACAGCCGAAGCACGGAGACTCGGGGGACCATGTGATCGGGCTACCACGCCTTATTTTGCTCCGGGGTGAACTGCCACACCTCCCCCCCCTGCGTTATCTGGCCTGTGTGACTGGGGCCTTAATTTACTTATATATATAAAACATTCTAAAATGCTCAATGAGGTGTGTTTTTTTTAGACAGCAGCAGGCTTAGTAGCTACAACAACAACAGTAGTTTTCTTTCCCCATAAGCCTGCCATGTTTGCAGATAGCAGAACGCTTTGATCCTCCTCTACCCGTCCTCCAGTATCAGGGATACAAATACAAAAGCCAGCATACAATCCTACTGTTTAATGTACTCTTCTAAATGTCTTCTACCCCCAGTAAAGGGAAGGAAGGAAAACAAATATATAATCCAAACTATTTCAAAAGAGGGGGGGGGGAAGTCGAGATATTTCAGACATTTAGCTCATGTATCATCATGGACACTCCCCCTAATGTCATGTTGCAAGCCCTTTGATCTTCAAGGTGGTACAGGTATGGTCGGATGGGTGGTGCTCGTGCAAAGCTAGGAGCAAAGAGAGCCGCTCAGTTCCTGTATTCTCCGTGCTGCTTCTTTTTCCCTGGGGGCACAGCGCTGATGCCGAAAGGAGATTTTATGTTCTGCCTATCCCTCTCGGCTTCTTCCTCTTCGTCGTACCTTTCGTCCTCATCTTCAGACTCGTCCTCATCGCTTTGGTGGGGACTGTTGTGCTGAGACACGGAGGGTGAAGGGGGTACCGATGAAGGACGGGGGAACCGGAATCCCTCAGTCTGAAAGAGAAATAAAAGCAGAAAACAGATGAACACACATGAAGCTGCCTTATATTGAATCAGAGAGCCAGTTTGGTGGGAGAACCGGGTTTGATTCCCCACTCCTCCACTTGCACCTGGCTGGATGACCTTGGGCAAGCCGTAGTTCTGATAAGAGCTGTTCTTGAAAAAGAGCAGTTTCTGTCAGAGCTCTCTCAGCCCCACCCACCTCACAGGGTGTCTGTTGTGGGGAGGGGAAGGGAACAGAGTTTGTAAGCCGCTCTGTGACTCCTTTGGGTAGTGAAGGGCGGGGTAGAAATCCAATCTCTTCTTCTTCTTCTTCTTCTTCAGTCTAAGGTCAATATGGTCTCTTCAGACCGGAAACAGCTTTCCAGGGTCTAGGGCAGAGTGGCTGCTCCCTGGGGCTCCATTCTTAAGGATGCTGGCACCAGAGGCGCCCCAGCGAAGTTCCCCCGTCCCAAACTGGGGAATGCCAACCCTACTGCTTGGTGGGCACCAAGAAAGGAGTCAGCGGCCAGCATAGTACTCATGGGCACCACACTGGGGACCCCTACTGTAGCCTAAAGCTGAGCCGAGTTTTCATGAGTTCCGGTTTTTCATATCCAAATGGGCAGGACCCATGAAGGAGATGCTTGGTCAAATCCCTAATCGAGTCTCAAGAAATTGGAAGACTTTTTGCTTCTGCCACAGGCCTGGACGCTTGCTAGGTGATAATGGGCCGATCCTCTTGCCTACCCTACCTCAGAGGGCTGTTGTGCGTATAAAAATGAACCTTCCCGGAAGATAAAGATTTAGTCGATGACTAGCTGAATGTGGGGCTGCCTCCTGCTCTCCAGGCATGAAAAGGTCTTTGTGTTACCAGCAGAAGCCTTGATTTGTGTTCCCAGCATCTCCATCATTGCAGTTGTCGACAGAATTAAGGGAATTGAAGAGAGGGATGACAGTCCCTTCCTGTTTCCCACTCACCCCCTTCATATTTTATAAAGCTGATTCTTAAGTAACACCTTCTTAAGCAAAAGTTACCTTTGGAGGAGCGTTCGGTTCCAACTCAAATTTTTCGGGAAATGCTCGGCTCAGAGCCAAGTGCCGGGCATGCATGTAATACTGTAAGAGGAAAGGGAGACAGAGAGAAAGCCGCATTAAGGAACTATAGGGTTGGCAGACCCACCCCCCGGTGGAGGGCCCCAATGCCCCGCTGCCGATCAGCTGGCCATCAGGGGGAAATTACCCCGATAAAGAGCAACATTTCTACATTTATTTATTTGATTTATACCCCGCCCTCCCAACGGCTCAGGGTGGCTTACATATGGCAAAGCCAGAGTAAAATACAATAAAACATATGATAAGCTACATATTTAAAACACAATAAAACCATCCTATTTACACGGTGCTGAGCCTATATTTAATCTTCCAAGATGGGAACAACCACCCAAATTTGATGGCCAGCTCTCTCGGCAAAGCGGTCTCCTGCTACGCTGTTCTGCCAGGCCGGGCCAGTCCCCCTTTAACAGGGCTGCTGATGGCGCACTACCTCGTTGGTAGGATAGTGGCGGCGGCGGCTCCTACTCAAACGCCTGGCAGAAGAGCTCCGTCTGCATAAGGTCCCGCAGGGCCCAGATCTCATCTGGGAGCTCATTCCACCAGGTAGGAGCCGCCACCAAAAATGCCCTGGCCCTAGTAAGGGCAAACTTGGTCTCTCGGGGAACTGGAACTTCCAGGAGATGGGAGTTCCCCGATCGTAGTGCTTTTGGGGGAACATACGGGAAGAGGCCCATGTGACCTGGAAGTGACATCATCACATTGGGGTGTTGGGATGACACAGGGGGAGGGCTTCTAATGTCCTGGCCCCACTGGTGGACCTCCTGATGGCACTGGTATTTGTGGCCACTGTGTGACACAGAGTGTTGGACTGGATGGGCTTTTGGCCTGATCCAACATTGGCGTCTCTTATGTTCTTATGTCCTCTGGTATTTGGGCAAAAACTCTATCGTAGAAGCCAAGTTTACCATAGAGATTTGGCCCAAATACCAGAGCATCACCCGATGTTGCTGTGTGACGATGTCACTTCCAGGTCATGTGGGCAGGGACGTGGGCACGTTGCTGCAATGTTGGCAGGGCCTCCCTCCTTCCCCCAGTAATTCCCCCCCCCATCCCCTGCCAGTTGCAAGGAGAAAAGGACTCCTTTCTCTACCTTCTCTATCCCATGCACAGTTTTGTAAACCTCTATCATGTCACCCCTCCCGAAATCAGTGATTCCGAAGTGGGCAAACACCTCCCCATCTTCGACAGTGAAGACAGAGGGGGGGGAAGCATCCAGATTATCTGCCATTTCCCTATCCTCCTTTAGTAATCCTTTTACTCCTTGGTCATCCAAGGGTCCCACTGCCTTCCTGCTAATAATGTATTTGAAGAAATTTTTATTATCAGCCCTGATGTTTTTTGCAATATGTTCCTTTTTGCCTATCTGATCACCGACTTGCATTTTATTTGCCAAAGGCTGTGCTCCCTTTTCTTGATCTCACTCGGACTAGCCTTCCACTGCCTAAAGGAATCCTCCTTACCTTTTACTGCTTCCATTATTTTGTTCATTAACCATGCAGGCCTTTTTTAATACCTATTTGTACCTTTCCTAACCTGTGGTATCCATTCTGTCTGGGATCTTCAAGGTCCAAGCAGCCTTAGGTTGTCCTTGATGATCTCCCATCCAAGTATGGACCCTGCTCAGCTTCTGAGATCTGAGGAGATCAGGCTAGTCTAGGCTGTTAGGGCTGATTCACCCTACATTCTTTTTAAAAAGGATATTGACATATTATTATTGTGTGTGTGTCAAGTACTGTTGAGTCACTTCCAATTTATGTAAAGGTAAAGGTAAAGGTTTCCCTTGCTCGAAAGCCAGTCGAGTCCAACTCTAGGGTTGCCGTGCTCATCTCCGTTTCAAAGCCGAAGAGCCAGCACTGTCCGAAGACATTTCCGTGGTCATGTGGCCGGCATGACTAAACACCAAGGCGCACGGAACGCTGTTACCTTCCCACCAAAGTGGTGCCTATTTATCTACTTGCAATTTCTTGCTTTCGAACTGCTAGGTTGGCAGGAGCTGGAACCAGAGACGAGAGCTCACTCCGTCATGCGGCACACTCGGGTCTCGAACTGCTGAACTACCGACCTTCCACAGCCTGCAGTTCAGCGTCTTAACCAACTTAGGGCAATCCTATAAATCAGTGACCTCCAAAACGTCCAATAATTAACAGCCTTGCTCAGGTCTTGCAAACTGAGGGCCGTGGCTTCCTTTTGTTGGAAGTCCCAGGTGCGATGTCCCCTCTCTCAGACCTCCAGACTGAGTGGCGACAGAGGCTAGATCGCTAGATGGACACACTGACCTTTCTTCCTGTCTTTACTGTTCTGCCATCGTCCCCTTTGAAATGCAGATTGTGTTCTCAGGGACGATTTCCCCTCCCTTCCATTCTCTCACTCACTTGAAGATGATCTCTCTCCCTGCACGCACCAAGTTGGCTACTGCATAAATTAGTTTGCTCTGGAGCCCTCCTTCCTGAGCGAAGACAGAAATGTGTGAGCCAGAGGCTAAAAAACTGTGCGCTGGCTCACACGAACTCAGCTTAGAAGGAAAACCTCTCTTGGCACCATGAGGCAGATGGGCCTCTTGCTATCTGCCTCCATCCTTTAGCTAGTAAGTTAGTACTCTATCATGACCCTACTCTTTCCTATCCAAAGTGTACTTCTCAAATAAAGACAGAAGCATTTTTTCTTCTAAACTTGCAATGTGGCTCTGTCTAGCTTTGTAAGCTGAGTAACCTGGTGAAGTGACGCTCCTGCATTTGTAGCTTTATTGAACCACTCCGCTAACTAGGGTTGACTGAACTAATCACACCAGTTAACCTCAATACCTTTATTGACTCGACCCATCTCATTGTGGGTCTTTTCCTTTTCCTGCTGCCTTCTGCCTTTCCTAGCGTTATTGTCTTTTCACTCTTTGGGTGAAGAAGTACTTCCTCTTATCCGTTCTAACCCGACCGCTCAGCAATTTCATGGAGTGCCCACGAGTTCTAGCAATGTCATGGAGTGCCCACGAGTCCTTGTAATGTGACCAAAGTACGATAGCCTCAACTTATTACACACAGCTATACAGAGACTTCTCAGAAAAGCAGAAAGGGGACTGGACATGCACGACACAGCTTAACACTAGCCTCAACTTATTACACACAGCTATACAAAGACTTCTCAGAAAAGCAGAAAGGGGACATGCATGACACAGCTTAACATACCCTGCCCAGATATCTCCAGTCCAGCAAATCTGAGAGCCTCTCCGTTCTGTTTCTCTGGACGATTCTTTGCCGACGTGACTGCTGGCAGAACGCATATAGGAACTGCGTCAGCTGGTTGCAAGACTCGTCCGGAGAGCGGTGTCTCCGGTCCACAATGTAAATACCTGTAGGAGACAAGCCAGGTTAGGAAGATGTAGACACAGACGCTTTTGACCTTTGGAGGCTTCCCTTGCATCTGTCTTTATACATCATAATCTTAAAAAAAAACACCCTCTCCCATAAACTGAGGGTATTCATATTTGATTCTTATTCTCCTCTTCTTCATCCTCTCTGCTTTAACTGCAGTGGATCTTTGGGCCCCAAAGATCACATTCTGTACCCTAAAACTGAGACGCACCCGTGGCTTGTGGGAATGGTGCTGGGAAGTGTCATCAAGTCGCTTCTGACTTACGGTAAACCTGGATGGGCCCCAAAGATCACATTCTGTACCCTGAAACGGAGATGCACCCATGGCTTGTGGGAATGGTGGTGGGAACCTGGAGGGTTTTCTAGGCAAGAGATGAACAGAAGTGGTTTGCCATTCCCTGCCTCTGCATAGCAACGCTGGACTTACTTAATGGGCTCCCACCCCAGTACTAACCAGGACTGACTATAAGAACATAAGAGAAGCCATGTTGGATCAGACCAATGGCCCATCCAGTCCAACACAATGTGTCACACAGAGGCCAAAACCCAGGTGCCATCACGAGGTCTACCAGTGGAGCCATAAGAACGTAAGAGAAGCCATGTTGGATCAGGCCAATGGCCCACCCAGTCCATCACTCTATGTCACACAGTGGCCAAAACCCAGGTGCCATCAGGAGGTCCACCAGCAGGGCCATAAGAACATAAGAGAAGCCAATGTTGGATCGGGCCAGTGGCCCACCCAGTCCAACACTCTGTGCTACACAGTGGCCAAAACCCAGGTGCCATCAGGAGGTCCACCAGCAGGGCTAGAACTCTTGAAAGCCCCCACTGTGACCCCCCCAAGCACCAATAATACAGAGCATCACTTCCCAGACCAAGAGTTCCTATCTATACCTTGTGGATAATAGCCACTGATGGACCTCTGCTCCAGCTGTTTCTCCAATCTCCTCTTGAAGCTGTCTATGCTTATAGCCGCCACCACTTCTTGAGCAGTGAATTCCACATGTTAATGACTCTTTGGGTGAAGAAGTATTTTCTTTGATCTGTTCTAAGCCCACTGCTCGTTAATTTCATTGAGTTCTTGTCTTGTGAGAAAGGGAGAAAGGGACTCATTTCTCTACCTTCTCTATCTCATGCACAGAGCTGATGTGAAAACAAGTGATGCAAGTCCGTGTATGAAACCAGCTGCTAGCGTGCTCAGAATAGGATCTGAGTTCAAACATTCTCACCATAAGCTGCTGGGTCAGCTACATGCTCCTGCATAAAACAGCCAAATCCAGAGAGATTGGTGGTCACGCTGGGAATGCCCATGACGGTGCACTCGGCTAGCAAAAGACCAAGGAAAGTTTATTATTTAGTTATTACTTCCAAACACCTGTAACAGCTAGATGCTGCACCACATTAAAAATAAGAGACACCCTGCCTGCAAACTTGCAGTACAAGTGTAAAGAAAACACACATTAAAGAGGATAGGAAAGGACATCAAAGGGAAGGAGAAATCAATCAGGGGCCCTGGTCACACAGGCCGGATATCACGGGGGGGAGGGGGAGGCATGGCTAATTGCCCTGGCACAGTTTGATGCGCGATTATACGATCAGACACGCCGGCGGCACACCACGGGTCCTTCCCTCAGCGCCGGTGGGTAAACAAGGGACTGGAGGGGAATGCCACGCGCCAGCGCGATCACATCACGGGCATCTGGAGGAAGCCCGTGGCAAACGTTTACTAGTACCTTGGAGGTACTAGTTTTTTAAGGCACATTGTTGGCGGTAAGCCACAGGTGTGCTCCACTTCCCAGATGTTGGGGTGTGATCGCGCCCGGATAATCCGCCCACCATCCGTGCCTCTCCCACGGCAACTTTGCCATGTGACCGGGGCCAGGGAAAGCCAGGGTAAACAGAAGAGCCTGCAAAAGAAGAACCTGAATGTAAAGACAAAGGAAGAAAGCTGAATGTCAAAGGAAGAGGCATTCCAAAGAGAGTAGAGGGCAGAGAGTAGTGAATGAGACTGCTACAGGAGGTAATTGAACTACCAGAAAATGTCATACAAGTAACAGCATTTAAAAGAGAGGGGGCATCAGACTAGCCCTCCAGGGTAAGGGAGAGGGGATCAGGGATGGAAAAGTCTCTACGCCAACCCCCCCTGATTTTTAATGACAGAATCCAAGGCTTGAAGGCTGGCAAAACTGATATGATTGCTTAGCGACTCTCAAAATAGGCACTGAGATCTTCGAGGGCATCCATTTCCCAAAGTTACAGGCACTCAAGTATTTCATTAGGCACTCTATTATTTCATCAGGCTGACTCCTCCAATAATACATTTGTTAAAATTCAGACTTCTCCATAAACTCGGGGTTTTCCTCATGTTTGTAAAAATGGCCCTGGTCTGTGGATTTAAGGATCCACCCTTGGTAGCATAGTTTAAAATTGAATATGATGATGGTGCAGCCCAATACAGGTTCTTTCTTTTAAAAACCATCTATTCTTGCAGACATCTCCTGGAAGTGAATCCCATATGTTAATATTATCAGATACTAGTGCTAAATTTATAAAAGAAGGTAAGATCCCTTACCGGGAGTATAACCCCAGGGCTCATAGTAGGATGGGAATACCCCAAGATGGCAGCCTCTGACAAACTCTTCATAGTCCATTGGTAGCAATGGACTTGTTGAAGAAAGGAATTCAGGGTGCAAGATCACCTGAAAAAGAAAGAGTTAAAATGCTTCCTCTAAGCTGTGGAGTCTCGTGAGCCAAAATTCTGCTTTGTGAGCTGCTGGCATTAAAGTTGTGAGCAAGCGATTTGGCTACTGCATAACTGAGTTTGCTCTGGAGCCATCCTTCCTGAGCTAAGACGAAAATGTGTGAGCCAGAGGCTAAAAAACTGTGAGCTAGCTCGCACTAGCTCAGCTTAGAGGGAACACTGGGTTAAAAAAGTCACCCAACTCCACAAATCTGTACCATATGCAGCAGGGACATTGCTTACACGGGATCTTCTTCAATTCCACAGGGCCTGCAAGACGGAGCTGTTCCACCAGGCTTTTGGGTGAGGCAGCGGGCACCCATTTACAGGGGTCATTTCGTAGAAAAAGAGCTAGGGGAACTCATTAGCATAACTCATTAGCATATGCCTCACCCCCTGACATCAGGGGCCCGGCGGTGAACCTGCAAGGCCAGCGGGAGTGCGAGGAAGCCCTGCCAAGGCCCTCCCTGGCCCCAGGCAGGCAGGGGTGGGGAGAGGTGGGGAGGAAGCAACTTACCCTCCCTCTTCTCCTGCCTCCTCCTGGCTGAATGAGGGCTGGAAGCTCAAGGAAGCCCCGCCAAGGCCCTCCCTGGCCCCAGACAGGAAGGGGTGGGGAGAGGCGGGGAGAAAGCAACTTACCCTCCCTCTTCTCCTGCCTCCTTCTGGCTGAATGAGGGCCGGAAGCGGGGCGGCCGGAAGCAGGGGGCGGGGCCTCGTCATGTGCCCCGCCCCCCTGCACCTCACCCGGGGGAACTGCGTTCCCCCGCGTTCCCCCTCGAAATGACCTCTGCCCATTTATAGCCTCCCTGAGGTTGCTGTCACCCTTCTG